AATGCGCCTTTTTCACCACAATGCCAATCCATCCTTCGCGGAGTGTCGAGACAGCGGCACTACGTGAAGAGGTACTGGCTGACGCTGCCACAGTCGCGTCGTACGTGTAATGCGGTGGTGCTGCCCGGTGAAGCCCCGACAATGATTCACCTCAATGTGGAGAAGGTCATTCCTTTTACTGTGCTGCCAAAGAATGTCCAAAAGCGCATCATGGATGAGCATCCACCTTTCTTTGGCTCCGGTGTGGGCATTTTGTCGACTCGTATGAAATGGAAGGCTGTTACCGCAGAGCGACTCCTGCGGCTCCTGAACGAGAGGGAGGAGGATCGCGCGCTGTACATCGACACTTCCATCGCACACGAGCTCGGTGTAAAGGTGGATGCAAAATATGCAATCGATATTCGAAAGCAGAGTTCCATTTCAGTGTTCAGTGCTGAACAGCTCGACGATCCATACAAAGGGGAACCTCAAAAGGGTGTGGCATTGAACGCGGTGACGGGAAAGAGACTTGGCCAGCCGGCGCACGACATCCTTTTAGCTGTAGGCATCATGCGTGGATACATATCACCAATGTGGATTGGAGAAAAACAGCTCAAACATCTGAATCTGGAGGTACGTAAAGGGAGAGAAAAGGAGGGTGTGCTAGCTCCCAATATGACGGGTTTGATTGTTTCTTTGTCGCAGATTCCAAATGATGCACAGCGGGAGTTGCTCAAGGAGCTGCGTGACGCCCATCCTGATGCCTTTGGATATGATTTGTACTTCCTTTATAACGTTAATGGCTGGGAAGTGATGCGGTCACGAGTACTTGTAAAGCAAATGGCAGCGGTGAATGACCCCAAATACCCGTATCACTTTGTGAACATCAGGGATTTGGGGCTGCAGAAGATTAAATACGCCAAATTTGCGGACGCATGCCAACGGATGTTGAAACCCTTGGGTATGAATCTGCCGGAGGCCAAACTATCACAGGACGACGGAAGCGATACTGTTACCAGGGAGAGTGGTGCACTCGTTGTTCAGAATTTTGTATCTCCGGATGAAGGCAACAAAAACGATGCCCCGGGAGTGGCGTTCTTTGCAGAAGATGCCACACTTCGGCGGTACTATAACGCAGTGTGTGTGACAAAGCCCTACTTGGCTGTTCCTGCAGTGCGTTCTGTTGCCATTTTGAATGGCAAACTTATCGGCCGGCGAGACGAAGTTAAATTGCGCAACTTTGCTCTTAAACATAAGCTTTCTAGTCCTATTTGGGTGACGCCGGTCGGGGCCAGACGTATGGGCGTCGGCATCGAAAAGAAGTATCTCAACCGATATGTCATGATTGGTGCTGGGGCTGAGGAGGATATTGGTGAGGAGCCCGTTGAAGAATTCTACAACTTGGACGATTTCGTCAACCCTGAGGAGGTACTTCAGATCTTCCCAAAGAAGAGTAAGTCGGCACACTTCATGCTGGACTCTAAATGGCGCCCTGTTTTGGGCAAGCAGAGACAGGAGTACTTGTCGTCCCTGAAACGTAGTACGCCGCTCTGGGTGTCGGTGAGCGAGTGCCTCATGTCTGGCTTTGAAACCAAGGTGGGCTCGCAGCCACTCTCTTTCCCGTCACGGAAGAAATCATCGGCCTCTGCTGGGGGACAAAAGCTGTACAACTCACAATTCACAACTGACCCTGTCCGCGTTATCGGGATGGCGACGGTGTACACACGACCTCAGGGCACCACCCTCTGAAACTGTATTCTCGGAATGATTTTTTCTTTCTTTCTTTGAGCTGTTGTGAGCCCCATTTTTGTAAATGTACAATGTAGACAACGTGCTCTCACCTACTCTCCTGGGCTTTCAAGAGGAAAGTGTTTGCGTGCAAACGAAAGAAATGCGTTTGTGGACAATGCAGTTGGGGTTGCGGGTGAAGGAGCGCGTTCTAGAACAGCGGGGGCGGGGTGAGGCGATGCGGCACTGGGATCTGCTCAACACCCTCTCTCTGCACAGAGCTGCCGTACACAAGGTACTTGCTTAATGAAGAAGATCCTGTGTGAAGCGTCTCTTCTTCTTCAAGGAAGCAAAAAAAAAAAGAAGAAAAGAACAACACGACGTAACCTTTTCCCCCTTCTTTTTTTGGTTGCGCGAAAACTGCTTAGGGACTGACAGTTTCCGTTTAGTGGCGTAAAAAAGGGCTTGATAATTCTCTCAGTGCTCTTTTAGAAATGACACAGCGCCCGACTGTGTCGAGGCCGCTGACCTCCGAGGCATTGCGTGTGACCACCAGCATGCCATCGACGCCGAACACCACCCAACGGAAGCGCGTTGATGTGGGGGCATCCATACAAATGCGGAGGAACAGGGCAGTTTCTCCCTTGCGCTCGCTGTTGGTGCCATCTCGAGATGTATACGCCGCCCACGCTGCCAGTTCAGATCGGATTCTCGGCAACGGCCCACGCTTCTTCGCGGTGATGCGGAAGATTGGTTCCCTCTATGAGGAGATGGCGCGGCAGTTGGAATCTACAGGCTTGTGGGAGAGTGTATTCGTCAAAGAGGCACGTGACCGTGGCGAGTTGCTTGTGGCCTCTACGGGTCATCCATTGAGACTTGAGAATGTCGCCCTCGTCCTTGGCGAAAAGGTTCCAGCCGAGCGGTTCGTCACATCGCGTCGGTTTCAACTTAATAAACTAGCAAAGCACCGCTTGATAAATATAAATAGCCTAGTGTCATCGGACCAAAATGATGAAACTCTTGTAGTTAACTGTGTAGAGGGCCTACGATGCATTACCCTCAAAGGAAGCATGGTGTCCACACTCCTCGCCTATTATTCACAATCATGGGAGGAGTTAGGCGTCTACTTACCAATGACTTTCCGACTGACGCCAAGAAAGCCAAAGAGTGACGAGCGGGGGCTGCTCCTCCGGGTGCTGCGGCACAAGTATAATCTCGGCACTCTTTGGATCGCAAAAAGCTCTTCGGGATGCCACGGGGAAAATGTGGAGATCTTTCGCAACGACGCCACTGGGGTAAAGCGGATGCTTAACTATGTGGATGAACAAAAAGATTCATACATGTGGGTGGTGCAGATGTATATTGACCGCCCTCTTTTGTACCACCGCCGAAAGTTTGACATTCGGTGCTGGATACTCCTTTGCGCGGGGCGGTACGAAATATATGTTCATGAGCAACTGGTGATGCGTATGAGTAGCGTAGAGTACAGTACGGAGAGCGCCACAACGAGAACCGTTGAAGGGCGATTGGCACATATAACAAATCATTGTGTTCAGGTAGAGGGTGAGGGGTTCTCGGCATTCGAGGAGGGCAATGAACTTTGGAGGGAGCACCTCGACTCTGTGGTGCGCTACAAAGGCAAGCGCATGAGGTCAAAGGGAATCCAGCATGAAGGCGCCAACCCGGAATTAGAGCCGTCGTTGAAGAACACCGTGCTGCCACAAATTTATCACATTGTTGTGGAAACGCTTCTCGCGGCACGGGGATCCATTCCCAATGGAAGGTCTCCGCCATCCACGCCGTGCTTTCAGATCTTCGGTTACGACTTTTTGATTGATGAGATGTTGCGGGTTTGGCTCCTGGAGATAAACGGTGCCCCTGGTGCGGCGGATCGTCTTCTACCGGCATTGGTTGCGGACACCATTGAGATCGCGTTGACTCCTTTCTTCCCTGACACTACAAAGGCGGCAATACACCGGAAAGGAATCACTAAGTCTAACGGGTACGTCAAGGTGCATCCCTAGAAGCATGTTTTCTTTGTTTTTTTTTGTTTTTTTTTTGTTGCTTTCCTTCTTCTTACATCGAGTCTTCGTTGTGCTTCATTGCAAAATAGACATGTTCCCGAAAAGTGCGCCCGACAGAAAGAAAATAGAGCTCTCTCACCGCAGAAACACAAAATTTCTTATATCTGAAAAGAATTGCTATCCGTTTCTGGATCCCTTTTTCTTTGCTTCCCCTCTTTCTCAGCGCTATGAGGTCATATTCTCCACGGGTGCTGCGAGTGTCTCTTCCAGAGGCTTTCGGTGGCGCATTTCCATGCAGTCGCGCATGCTGTAAGGCTGCTTTTCGCAAGAGAGGCACCAAGGATTTCTTTTCCCCTTGGGGATGAAGGAAGAATCCTTGGGATTCGCAGGTATATATGTATATATATATATATTCGAAGTGCAGTTGAATGTGCCGTCTGCTGCCCATTCAAGCGATGTTCTCTGGAGGTCGTTCTCGCGTTTCGCTCCAAGTATTTGTGACAAAAGTAACAGTGACGTATCGGGTGATCAGCACTCTTAGCAGCGGTGAGCGGGCCAGAAGTGTGATAAGCCAAAGGAGGCTCTGGGCGGCAGATAAAGCAAGAGAAACATGCTGTCAATGATATATGATGCTCTCAGCGAACAGAATTGCACCAACATGCCAGCAGGGCCTGGAAATGAAGGAGAGGTTTGGCTAACTTGAGAGTAAACGAGGGCACTTCTTGAGATGCGCTACGACTCTGCAGCAGTAGCAACATTATCGGCAGTCTTTACCCTTGTCTATTTTCTGTGTGGAGCACGGCCTTCACACGGGCTTTCGCTGCAATATTAAAGCGACCTTATGAGGGATATGGACTTACAGTGTGCCTGTCTGAAGAAGAGGGTGCCACGTGTGCCGTCGAGGCGAGAGAAGGAGTGGTGCGTGGATGGGAGTGTCACTCTTCCCAGTAACCAGGAACACAGTGAGCCTATTCGTTGCGAAGGGATCGCAACGAAGGTGCTGGGAGACGCAAGTGTGACTCAAAAACTGGCCGAGAGCCACTCTCTTCTGAGCAGACTGAAAAATGCCCGAGTGCGCCCCCATTCTTGTCCAGCACGTACCAACCAGCCCCTTGAGTGTCATGAAATGCATGCTGGCGGCCAAAGTGCGGTGCGAGACCTCTGCAAACTAAGCAGCATCAGTACAGCGATGACACCGCAACTACTATCATGGTGCCTTTCGCTGGCGATGTGGCGAGAGAAAGAAATTTGGCAGGTGAGGCCATGACACAATACTGGGTATTTTTCACTAAATGAGTGTTCGTGTGGGGCGGCAGTTGTTGCGGGTTGCTCTTATGCTGCTTCTGTGCGTGTATATAAAACAGGGTGGTTTTTTTCTCTCTGTTTTAGCCATTAAGGATTGAGAGCTAGCAAAAAAATCTTAACCGTTGACCGACAAGGGGTACACAATCGGTTTCGTAAGCGAAAAAAAATGCGTCTTCGCGACATTTTGATAGTAGGCGTCGCCATAATCTTCTGCATCTTTGGATGGTACCAGGAAGGTGGCCTCGCCGTATGGCGGGGCTTCAAGATCCCTGTTAGCGACTTTGAGATTCAGCGCTATGTGATGAGCAAGCCTGTGGTGCTCGACCTGATGGGAGATGGTAATCCAGTTCTACTCGCAAGCACTTTTTACGGGTACTTGGAGTTGTTCAAGACACACTTGGCACGAGGCAACTCCGAGAACGTATATGTTTCAATCGCTCCAAACCTTCAGAAGGTGTTCTACTCCCGTGTTGTTGCTATTGGCACAGGAAAACTCACTAAAACGAGTGACACCCACGCAATTGTCGTGATCACGGACGACTTTAGGGTGCATCGGCTCTCCCCTGAGGACCTATCGGAGATGTGGGCTGTTCCTTTGACTAACACGTGGACCGAGACGTATCACGCATCTGTTAGCGTCGTCCCGGAGCGTGTCTACGAGCAGGATGAGGGCACTGTTATTGTGGCGATACGTGTCATCGGTCCGAATGAGACAGAGTTGATGATGTTTGCAGCCTTCAACGGTGCCGATGGGCAGGTACGGTGGCGCTATACATCTGACGCTGAGAATTCTGTTGAGGAGGTACTAGGCACAAATGGAGAAACCGACGTGGAGCGGCTCCTTCCCAACAGCACGGCGCTCTTGAAGAGGCCGACGGTGCAGAATCCATACCGCATGTATGAAAAGCCCTGGACATATTTTCGCGAGGCCGTCATTACAGTTCTTCCGCACCGCTACGCCCACCCATGGGACGAGCACCTCCAGCCACATGTCTTCTTCCATGCAAAGAACCGCAAGAAGCGCAACTTCCGGGCGGGGAACAGAGTGGTGGTTAAGTACAAGGACCGCATTATCCGTATGAACAAAGAGGACTACGGTGCACTTGGCGAAAGGCTCGGCGTGATGAACCTGCGCAGCAAAGCGGCAACTCCTACCGAGAAGACTCCCCGGCGGAACGCGAACGCGGTGGTGTTTCACGGCAAAAACGGTATTGATGTCCTCCACCTGTATACTGGCAACGTCATAACACGTGTGGCCCCGCTGAAGTCTTCAGGTGTCTACTACCACGACATTAATGACGACTTCCAAATCGACGCTATTGGGACACAGATTGGCCCACGGACGCAAATGCATTCCCGACACGGTGTGGATCTCATAGATGACTGTCTCGGTGTGATTCACGCTGGGGCTCCAGTCGCGGAGGATCACCTTTTCAACGCGACTATCTGTGACACGGAGGGCCTCCTTGGCCGTCTTGTTCTTATCCACCACTTTATTGACGGTGATGTGCGGGAAGAGGAGGCACCACACGCACTCAATACCCTTGAGCTGATCGGGAGCCACAACGTTGTTTCAAAGAACACCCGAAGTGTGACACCGCTTGTGGTGCAACTACACACAACGAAGGGGCGAGACCTGTTTCAAGTTGAAAGACACGCAGTGTTCATGATAGACACAGGCCTTGTCACCTGCGTTGATCCCTCGCGTCGTCGCGTTATTTGGCGCGCACAGACCGACTCTTTTTTCCCCGGCCTCCGCGAGGCACAAGAGGCGGAGGTCGGTATGGCGGGCCTCTCGCGGCGCGAGCGCGAGCACCGCACCGTGGTGTTTCCACACCTTGCGGCCTATAGCTTTTACCAAAGCAACGACGACACCGTTGACCACGTTGGTGGAATGGGGCGGTACCACAAGACAGATCCATTCATTGTTGCAGTAGGGGAGAAATACATGAGCGTGCTGAGCGCAAAGAACGGCCGTGTATTGCGAACGGTAGAGCTGGAGTTCCCACCTGTGGCCCCTATCATTGTGCAGGACTTTAACGGTGACGGTATCAACGATATTATCGTTGTTACAAAACAAGGGATCTACGGTTTTGTTGTTGGCACACAGACGTCATCCGACACAATCACGGCGCTGATGATTCTCATGGTTGGTCTGCTGGCTGTGCTTTTTGTTGTGCGCGAGGTGAGTGCCGCAGATGAAGGCGATGCGGAGCTCCTCCCCACCAGTGTGCATGACGTTTCCCGAGCAGGGCGCAAAGCGGTGAGACGCGCAACTGATTAATGAAGGAGGTTCTAGAAATGAAGGTAACGAAGCCTGGGCGCGCACGGGTTGCTTTGTTGACATTCTGTGTTTTTTTTTTTGTGTGTGTGTCTTCGTGTGCACACGCACCTAATTTGTGTACTACATGTTTCATCCGACATCTGATGTTCTTTCCGCACCTTTTTTTCCTCCTTGTTTTTGTGTTTCTTTCCGTATTGATTACACCTGCTCGTGATATGGAGCCTACCACGACTGAGGGGAGCTTTACGATACACAGGAAGCACAACACTATAAATATTTTATTGTCATTGTTGCTGCTGCTTCACCTACAGGGTCACAGCAGCCAAGTACATCGCCTCAGAGGTCTGCCTTCTCTTTGTTGGTGCGGGCGCACATTTCTGCTGCCGTACACGTAGGAGTAATCCCCTCCACGAAAGAGGTGTTGCCCTAAGTCTTCTTAAAAGAAGGGGTGAAAAGTGTTATATAAAAAGAAGGGCCGCCACATCTGAGTAAAAGGAGAAAGGAAAGAAAAATTACTTAGCCTGTGCAAAATCGCATCAAGGGGTAGGGATACTTGGTATTCTCAACGCCGACTTTCCACCAGATAAACCACCACGTATCGAGGCGAGGCTCATCTTCACTCCCTTTGTGTTTCGCCGCCACATCCACCTCACGAATCTACTACGGAGGCCCTGTGCCGGCATCACACAACACTCATCAACAGTCATGCAGCAGCAGCTTAATATCAGCGTCTCAAAGAACTCGGAGGAAGATGACGACGACGGCACAACGACAAGGGTAGTATTGGAGGAATCCTTTGAGGAGGAGCCCCCCTTCATACGTGTCGCGAAGCCGCCGGCGGACACCACCAGTGACTCCCTTTTCTCGTCCCCTGCTACATCTTTAGGCAACGGTACGCACGACCCATCACCTGCCGCCGCACCCCTCGATGCTCCTCTCCCTCCTGTCGTCACACTGACGCCGACAGAGATCTATGTTCAAGCAGTGCTAAATCAGATAGAGAGCGCGTTTGACTTGTCCGGCCTGGCGAGGTGCGTCGCGACGACCCGTCACGAAGTGGTGCCATTTAAGGATGGTGTGGCAACTTTTGACCTCAAGTGGTTCTCTGGCGTGCATGAGTATGTTGGCGCAGTCTTGGCAGCTGTCGCCGAGGGAGAGTCGGGGACGTTTTCGATACCAGACGGCCACAGTGGTATTGAATTTTGCGCTGCGAGGAGGAGCTTCACGCAGTCGTTGAGCGTCTGGATTGATAACATTGTGCAGAAGTATTGTTATCAACCCTGCACATACCGAAGGCGCAATGCCTCAGAGGTGGAAATTCTTCTTAAAGGCATCAATAACCGATGGGTACAGAGCTCCTTGGAGAAACAAAAACACTCAGCCACAAGTAACATGGCAACATCGATAGAGGAACTGAATGCGCTTCTTCTACACGACTTTGAATCTTGGTTTTCCTCATTCTTTCCGTACTTGAGCTACGCCGCGACGGCACGGCGACAGCTGCAACTACTATGGCTGGAGAATACCTACGTGGATAAAACAGAAGTGGCTTTCCAGGTTTACTCAATGGCGACACGGGTGAACCTGTTGGACAAAGGCGACGGTGTGGCGAAGGGTGCACTCTTCCCTGTGAAGTGGATACACGAGCTTCTGCACTGGCTTTGCGACAGTGAGAGTAAAGAAACTGAAGAAGGGAAAGAAGATGGAGAAAAGGATGAGGGTTCAAATTCACCAGTTCCGACCCCGGGCCCCTTCGACACTCTCTCACTGACGGAGTTGACGGTGGGTTTTCCTGTTAAACAAGTAGTGCGGGAAGAGAACGATGAGGCAGACATCATTCCAGAGGAGCTCTTTGACTTGTTTTGGTCGCTGTTTGGCGGCGGCCCAAAGTACTTGGTAAGGGGTGTGTTTAGGATGCGGCAACTCATTGAAGAGAGCCTGCGGCCACGGCGTGCATGTATCGCAGTTGTGTTTGAGGGAGTCAACGAGCAGCAACCTGTGCTTCTGGAGAGTGTTCTGTACCGCGCCAGCATAGCGGAAGTAATGCGGCGAGCGCTGAACAAGTTGGTGCGTGATTGCAAAGGCGGCGACATGGATGAAGAGATGTGGTGGGCTGCGCTGTGCAGTGATCATGTTGTCAGTGCATGTGTCACACACACACGGGGTGAGAAGCTAAGCGAAGTTTACCGTCTTGCGCACTCAGGTACAATAACTTTTGGGGAAGTGATGAGACAACTTGGGTTAGACGCTCCGCTGGAACCCGACAACGAGAACAACAGCAATAAATCAGAAGCTGCAGACCTTCAACTTCTGCTACACCAAGGTCATTTGATTGGCCGAATCATTGTAGAGGCATGTGGTGTCTGTGGACTCAAGAACATTGGCAACACATGCTACATGAACTGCGCGTTGCAGTGTCTGTCAAATTTTGGGAGTATGCGGCGTGAACTTCTCTCCCTTCCGCTGTCAGAATACTCAAATTCCCCCATAACGGTAGAGTTTGTGGGCCTCTTGCTTAAGCTGTGGTCCGGCCACCTCCAAGTGGTGGAACCCCGCAGACTGAAAATGATGTTTGGGAAAGTGGAGAAGCGCTTTGACTCATGTGACCAGCAGGACGCGATGGAGTTCGTTGAAGTGCTCCTTGACCGCATGCATGACGAAATGAACACTGTGGCTTACAAAAAATACCGGGAACGTCTTGATACTGACAAGAGTATTCCTACACGTGAACTATCCGCGGTGTTCTGGAAGGACTTCCTCCACAACAATCGCAGTTTCATCCCACAGCTCTTCTTTCACCAATCTAAGACACGATTGGAATGTCTTGCATGCGGTGAGACGACAATTGTGTTCGAGAACAACCCGACGCTCGCCGCCACCGTTGCCGCGCCACCAAAGAAGCGTGTCTATGAGGTAAACATCCTGACACCAGCAGAGAGGCGGGTGCAACTACGTGTTGGGGCGCTGTGCGACTCATCCAGCCCTGCTTCGCTGGATGATGTCGTGCGGGAGGTCGAAGCGCGGCTTCTATCCATGGACGCCGCTGTAACTGGTATTGCTACGACTTCTACGTCTACAACTGCTGCTTTGGCCTCGACTCCTTTCGCCCCCGCCGCAGGTTCTCCCACGGCTCCTGCAGACCTTCCTGAAGCTGCTCCTACCGCGACGGCCCCTGACTTCGACGCCGAGACGACCAAGCCCACGTTGAACGGCTATCGCCTCATTCTGCATATGGACCCGCTCAGGCCGCTTCCGGCTGAAAGCATTTTTTTGCAAGGTGCCCTTATCGCAGATCAGACAGAGACCGAGGAAGCACTAAAAGAAGAAGCTGCCAGCGCGCAGGAACAGGAGCAGCAGCAGCAGCAGGAACATGAGCAGGAACAGAAGAAGGAGTCAGAAGAGGGAGAGAGTGGGGAGGAAGGAGAGAGTGAAGAGGCAACGGAAGCTGAAAAAGAAGAAGAGAGGGAAGAGGTGGAGAAAAGAGAGAATGCGTATGTGTGGTACTATCTCAGGGCAAGAAGCGAAGATTGGTACACGCAGCACATCCTGTGCCATGTGGAGCGGCTCCCCACCAAGGAGGCTCTCGGACAGTCGTTGTTGGAGCACCATATTGTGCGGCGGTGCAGGGAACTTGGCAAGCGGTTTCTTCGCGCAACAAGCACCGGCGCGAATGAACTGTGGATATCAACGCTTGGGCCACAGGCAGACGCGGTGGGTGACACCTGGGTCTCGCGCCACATCAGCGTGTTTTACCAAAGCAGTAAGCACGCCATGGAGCATCCTATTAGCGTCCGCAGCACAGTTACTGAGGCAAGAGGCTGGACAGGGATGAAGGCGATCGATGCCTTCAGCGGTGAAGCTCGGATCTTGCTGGAGTATGATGAGTACTTTTTGGAGCCGGTGAGTAGTATTTACAACGTGGTGAGCCACAACATGAACGGCATGATGTCACCCTTTGGACACAGCTGCATAAGCAACATCAACGAGAATTGTGGTTCGGTGACTATAGAGGATTGTCTGCGGAGTACCTTTATGCCTGATATCCTCAGCGACGATAACGCCATACATTGCGGCAAGTGTAAAGCGGCCCGTGACAGCAAGGTGGAGCGGAGCCTGTTCCTGCTACCGCGCTGTCTTGTCATTTCACTTAAGCGCTTCAAGGTTGGACGCATGCAGGAGGCGAGTAAAAACACAACTATGGTGACGTTCTCACATGTGCTCGATGTGTCCCCGTACGTTGATCCGGAATCGCCGGAGCAGAACACGACGTACACACTGCGAGGTGTTATGTATCACTCTGGGACTATGAACCATGGACACTACACCGCGGTGGCGTACAATGATAATGCAAAGCAATGGATCCACTACGATGACGGGCGTGTCATGCCCCTGGAGGAGAACCGCTTTACACAGGATGCGTACGTCCTGTGTTATGAACGTGATGGGGCGGCGACGTGTGAGACGAAGTGCCCAAGTGCTGAGAATAGTGGGGTGTAGAGTTTTTTTTCTATACCCCGCGTCTTGGGTGAGTAGTGCCCCTTACCCCTCTGCGTGTTAATGGGGGCCTTCACGCCGTCTTATTTCTGCTCCATTCTGCTCGCCGCTGCGCATAATGAAACAGACGAAGATATATACAAGGAAAGAAGAAATCAAAAGGGAAACACCACAAGAATCAGAAGAAGAAATATAAGTTGAAACGCATTTTTGCGGCGCGGGACGTGACGAGATGATTGCATTTTGTCTGCCTGTTTGTATACATGCTATCTTCTGAATACCCTGCTATGCCCTATATGACTTGCCACGCGTGCCTTTGTCTTCTTCCCATGTATTTCATTTCGCTTCTCTTTCAAGTTTAACCTGCGCAGATAGCGGCCACCTGTGGACGCTATAGCTAGCGATTCCCCACACACACGCAGAGGAAACGGAAACAACAACTGCAAGAAGCCAAGTTGGCAGATTGGGAAGCAACGGGAAGAAGAAATCGCACATATGGCCACGAATAATGCAGCTGCGGAGGCTGAGATGCGGCGCTCGATGGTGGCTGGAGGAATTATCGCCGCCCAGGGGGAAAGCATTCGACAGCAGGAAGCCATTCGGCAACTCGCCGCGGATAATGAGAAGCTCAAGAAGGAGATAGCGTCCGTGACAGGCGTGCCGTATGACTTCGTCAAGGCCGACAAGTATGCGACGCTTAAGGGTGAAGTGGATGCGCTGGAGCGGCGATATCAATTTGAAAAGATGAAGAGGAACGAACTGACGCGGAAATATCAAATGGCCCGTATCGATCTCCTGCAGAGCCGCCGACTAAAGGGTGGTGTGAACGCTGAAAAGGAGAACGCCGAAGCTGTACAGCGGCAGGTAGAGCTCCTAGAAAACCGTCTGGATCAGGCGCTGACGAAATTCAATGATTCTATCTCATACAACAAAGAGCTACGTGACAACATCGATATAATCAGAGAGGAGCGCCGCGTCTTTCAGCGTGTGTACAAGAAAATGGAAGACGACCTTAGGGCCAAGAAGAAACTCATGTCGGAGCGCATTGAGCAGTCGAACAAAGACCTCGACGAGCGCGACACATATCTGCGGCACGTGGAGCAGCTGCAGAAAGCAATCGAAGAGCAGAAGCAGCAATACGCTTCGGATGTGCGGGAGATGGACATGGCCATGGTGGAGATCAGGGAAATGCGGGAGGAGCAGCAGCGGTTGCAGCTCGAGTTGGAAGCAAATGAATACGAGTTCGGAAACGACGCTGACAGCTTCGCTCTCACCAACGCCACGGCAACCGGCGGTGACGCAGGCATCAAACGACGCGGCCCACTTGAAGATGGAAACGAGTCTCCCCAAGATGACGCCCCCGAACACAGCGGTAATGAGTCTGTCACGGAGGCAGAACCGAACCTTGACGACGTTCTGATGCAGCTTTCGGAGTTTTCGGAGGATGATCTAAACACAGTGGCAAAACGCTATGAGGCTCTCGGAGATGCCAACTTCTCACTGTACAAGTATGTCAACGAACTCACTACCAACAGGGAGGAGATGCAGCGCGATATTCACACGCTGAAGGCTGTCATTGCGGCAGAGCACGAAAACGAAGAGCGGCAGAGGCGCCTTATCAAGAAGCTCGAGGACCAGCTCGCAGAGACGGAGGGGCTGTTAGAGCAGCTTCTTACATCCGCAGAGCAGCACCGGGGAGTCCTTTCGAGTGTGCGCACTGTGACGGAAGAAGTTTTCAACGAGATCGGATGCTCGAAAGAGGAGGCTAAGACATTGCTCGGCGGCACCGATCAGTGCACCGAGTCGAACCTCCTGCATTTTCTCGGCCTGATTGAGGAGCGCGCCATGACGATTATGTGCGCGTATCAGCGCCACCACCGTAAGGAGCTCATGCGGACAGAGTTAGTGGCGCATCAAAATGACAAAGTTGCCTTCATCGAGAAGGAAGACGCCGCCCCCATTGCTCCCGCAAGCGTCAACACCGCACCGGATAACAACACCACTGCCAACAGCAATGACGTCAACGCCGAGGAGGAGGAGGACAACGCCTTGACGCTGACGGCCGAGTCGCAGAAGGAGGAGGCGGTGAAAGAGGACGCCTCCCCCGATGTCGCTGCGCTCGCTGCCACCACCACACCGGCGGAGGAGCCGGAAGAGTTGGCGGAGGTGGACGAAGTGCCGCCGTACATTCCGGTGATGCACATGGCCGGGCGGCAGAACATCAGCGCTGCGCGGCTTGTGCGCCAGGCGTGCCTGCCGAGCGCCCACCTCGGCGGCGACGAGGGCGTTGAGGTGGTGGAGGAGTGGGACGGCGATCCGGTGGTGTCGCACGATGAGATACGGCAACAGATGGAGCAGCGGCTGTTGTCGAAGCGGGAGCGCGAGGAGCGCGCACATCGCAGGAAGCGGGAGCTGAAGGAGCAGCTCAACAGCCAGCTCGCGGCCCCGCGAAGAAAGTGAGGCGGCTGCAGGCGTGCGGCGGGAGAAGACAGGAGCAAGAGTGCGAGAGTTGGGGGCGCAGTGGTGGCGGGGATTGAAAAGTGAAGGGGAGGCAAGCGGTAGAGCATGCCAGCAGAAGAAAAAGAGGAAATGAACGAAGAACTACGAAAAATGAAGAAGCAGTGAGGAGGGGGAAAACCAAAAGAAGGCGAGAATGAAGGAAGAAACGAAGAAGAAGTCTTTTCATGTCATCGAGGAGGACGGCGTCGACGTCGACAGCAACAGCAGCACCGGCACCAGGAGGAAGGGAGTGAGAACGAAGACGTAAGCGCAGACGATTGAAGAAAGAAGAGAGACGGGAGAGAAAAAAAANAAAAAAAAAATCAAAGTGAGAAACACGCTGTCATTACACAATCAACTGGAATATGTTGTGCCCCTTAATTCTTTTTGAAGAGAGGGAGTGACTGCGTTTTGTGAGAAATGCTGATGCAGATGGAAAGAGGGAGAAGGGGGATGGCAATATATAGGTCTCTGTGTGTGATATGTTTGTGCGATGTGTGTGGCCTGTGTGACTAATGCTGCCAAGTTCTCTTCGATGCACCTTCGTTCACGCTATTTTTCCCTCCAGTACTCTTCCCTCCTCCCCTTGCGACGCTCCATTCGGCTCGGGGTGGCTCCATTGTCTGAGAGGAATGCACTGTGCCAGACGGCTGCTACATGTATCATACACTTGAATGTTTCAAGAGTGATCGAATCCACAACAACAACAACAAAAATTTTGGCTGCAGAGGAAGAGGCGGCGGTGGTGAACGTGGGGTGCTACAACTCCCCGCCTGTTTTTCATTGACTTATTCCTATTCATCTGTTCCTGAGCAGTATCACTTTATATCCCTTTGCTTTCTTTCTATCTGCTGCTGGTGGCGTTGCTTCGCGCCTCCGTTCTATGCAGTCGTAGCGACAGCACGTTGCTACAAAATTTAGCCCACACCGAGTTCACCAGCTGATGGAGAAGCGCGGCGACCAGTTGATGGAGGAGGGCGAGAAGTCGCTATCAAAGTTCTCCCTCTTCAACTTCTCCAGCGACAAGAGCGAGAAGGCGCGCGACAAGTTCACCCAGGCCGCCACACAGTACAAGGCGTGTGGTGAATTCGCCAAGGCGGGCCATGCGTACAAACGGGCCGCCGACATGTCGCAGAAGAGCAATAATGAGTGGGACGTCGCCACCGACCTCGAGGAGGCAGCGCGCTCCTACGTCAAGTGCGGCGACACCAGCAAGGCTGTGCAGATGTACGCGCAGGTGGCGGAGCTGCATGAGAAGGCGCAGCGCTACAGCAAGGCGGCCAAGACGTGCATAAGCCTCGGCGAGATTGCACACGAGAAGGAGGCGATGCAGTGGCTCGAGAAGGCCGCGCGCTTCTACGAGCTGCAGGGGTCTCGCGTGACGGCGGATGAGGTGGTGCTGAAGATGGCCGACGTGAAGGCGCGCTGCGGCGACTACGATGGCGCACGCGAGGTGTACGACCGCCTCGCACGTGCCGCACTCGACGACCGCGTCTCGCGCGGCGGGGCACGCAAGCTCTTCTTCACTGCCCTACTGGCGGAGCTCGCCACCTTTACGAGCGACAGCATCCAGGAGGACGTGGCGGTGCTGCAGGAGCGCTTCGACGAGTACCAGGGACTCGACACACAGTTCAACGAGCTCACGCGCGAGCATATGCTGATCAGGGCCGTTATCGAGGCCATACAGGAGGAGAGCGTCGAGAAGATGGACGAGGCGGTGTCGGAGTACGACAACATATGCCCGCTAGACGAAATGCGCGGGAAGATGCTGCTGCGCGCCAAGACAGCGCTCCGTCAATGTGTGGAGAACCTTAGGTAGTGCCACGCATCGCACGTTCCCTCACCGTTGTTTCTCCTTGCCTTTCTTGTCCTTGTCATTTGTGTTGTTCGGTCTTCGCCTCACCTGCTGCATGTTGTGACGGCCGATGTTTTTGCGTCCCCATCGCGAACGGTGCTGCCCTTCACCGAGAGGGCGCTTGTTCCGCTTCCTGTCAAAAACGAAGCGAAGAAAATGAAAAACAGAAAAAAAAGGAAATAATTGCAACACATTTCTTGTGCCGCAAATTTTTCTATTCCCACCTTGACTGTTCTGGTTGCCACTGCTACTGCTACTGCTACTGCCGGTGGTGGTGGTGGTGGTGGTACTGTTAGTATTATTATTGGTATTCTTTCTCTGCTCTTCCGGCCCTTCCGAAGTTAGCGTAGGTGGTGGTGGTGTTGGTGGTGGCGGCGGTCAGTGGGTGAGTGACACCGCGCACGGAGGGCCCTAAACAAGGAAGACTGCAGCAACATGTCGTGCTGCGTCTGCGTGCTGCACTCCGCCGGGGTTTCTTGTGACGCCGCGCTCCTCTCGCAGGCGGCGTACGCTACCTCCGCCGTGTTCCACTCGCTGCGTGCATGCGCCGCCGACTTCGTCCCCACCGTCGCTGTGCTCCGCGCCAACCCTGTTGAGGGTGTGCAGTACGC